CCCCAAAACCCCAAAACCCCAAAACCCCATGGATGTAATAATCTAGAAGATATTTGGATTTAAAGATAAAGAATCGATAATCAAATTTATCTTTTGACTCTCAGAAGGCGTCATTGTATTGTATTCCAAATCCTTTGAGCATCTCATTAACACTTTCTCTATCCAGTTCACTGAGTTCACGGAAAGCCTACTCATCTTTGGATTTATAACCAGTATTTTTCTTGATAAATTCCTCCATGAACACCAGAACCATGTCAATATCCTCAACTAATGTAGCTTTTTTGACTGACTATTCATACTAATGAACCTCAAGTTCCTCCTATCTATCCTACTCCTCTTTAGATTTAACTGATAAATGCTTGATTAAAGAGTCTTGATGTTGCTCTAACTGCTTTTGCATTATAATATTTTCCTCAATGAGTTTGTTTTCTTTCTTGACATTCTATAGAAATGATTACTTAAGATCATGATAAATTTACCTCTAATCTCAATTATAGATAGGTGTGTTCATTCTAGATAACGAATATAGCATCTTCAATTGATTGGATCTCTTTTTCGATGTTTTCCTTTTCGTTTTCCAAATCCTCTACTTGTTTTCTGTGTCTCAGTATCTACTCCTAGACATCACAGTCATGTTTCAACTTCAATCTATATTCCTGCGACTAAATTCTTAGTTCTCTTTCTTGGATCTCCTTCTATAGAGTATAATACTCTCCTTTAACACTTTAAAGATCTTGCAGCTCACTTATCATCACCTTGATCTCATCAAAGTTGATCTTGAGCTTTTTGAATAAAGAGTTTACTGCCATAAGCTCTGCGTTTTCCTATAACTTCTTCTTGTTCTATTCCAAAGACTCTTTCATAATTTTATGTTGATTCTTAAGTTAACTCACATCCTTAAGCTTAGTCTTTTGAAGATTAAGTATGATCTCTTGATTTTTACTAATCTGCTCTTTCAATTGCTCGATCTCAGTTTGTAACTACTTGATATAGGCACTCTTTTCCATGATTTTCTTCTCATGATTAGATTTAAGGTTGGTAAGCTCAATCATCTTAAGATTCAAGACATTGGCTTTTTCCTCATCCTTTGACTTGATTTGTCTGTAGACATTGTCTATTTCTAGTTCAAGTTATGTCTTATCATTCATCAGAGTCTCTTTCTCATTTTCTAGCTACTAGAGGGTCTATTGTGATTGATTGATAAGTTGCTGCAATTTTATTTCTGATCGAGAGTACTCAGATATCATTAACTTTGTCTTATTAAATGCATTCTGGTAGGCTTGCTCTATATCTTTGATAAGGTTCGTCATATCCTCAATAATCTTTGTTTGAAATATTTCAGAAACAGCCTCTGCCTTGTATGGGCCTTTGGCTGTCTTAGCATATTCAATTAAAAGAGCTGCAAATTGATTCTTGAATTGAGTCATAAGATTAGGTTGGATGTCTTGAATTTCATTTATCTTGATGTCGGATAATTTGGCTGCCTAGAGATTATGCAACAGATTTAGGCAATACGTCCTGCTTTCATTACTGTTAGCCTCCTCTACTGTCTTGAAGTAGGATCTGACTCTCTTTTCAAATTCTGCTCTTAATTCCACTAGGTTCTCAACAGAGGCGATATCCTGCAGCTTTTCACAAATCTTTCTATTAGCAAAGTTTAGAATCTCACTGTATATTGTCTCTAACTCTTCCTCTTCAAAAGGCATTAGTGAATCATCGCATTGCTACTTGATTTGATTAGTAACTTCTTCAAACAGTTTCTCTGTTACTCTTCGAGATTCTACCTGAACCACTCTTTCAAAGCTTGAAAGAACTACAGGTATTTCCTTGTTATTTAGAGCATCTACGTATTCTAAAGCCATACCTAAAAGCATGCTTCCATTCAGTGCTCTACCATTAATGTTTTTCAATCTAAATGGCTCATGCTTTAACTTTGCCATTAAGAGATCCATTCCTTAAATGAACTCAGGCCTCAGGTCTTCATATTTCATTTCCTCGATATGAGCTAACTGCCTTTCATCATTGACTGGCCTTACCAAAGTAAAGCAATCTAAATCACTGAAGAAATTCTTGATTGACTGTCTAATGCTATTCTTCTGGAATACCTCATCAGACATTCCTCTCTGATTTTCAAGACATTATTCGAGGTAGCTCTTTGAAGTCAAATGCTTAAAGTTGAGTGAGAAATCTCTTAGAACCCACACAAAGGAAGGGAAGTAATGTTTGAATTCCAAACCAGTCTCTTCTTGAGTGCTATCTTTGATCTTAAGTTCATTAGTAAGTCTCAAGACAACAGACATATCCTCTATGCTTTGCTCAGTGATATGGCCTATCTGATTAAATACGAATGTACTTGATAAAAGTATAGCAAGAGAGAATATTTTAACATCTAAGTCTAGAGTTCTATCTGTTGAATTGAGACCCTCTGTATCTAGTAGCAAGGCATCTACCTCTGGGGAGAGTGGAACCAGTCTATTCCACATCCAGATGCCTCTTGTGCAGGACTAAACAGTTGATCCAATTTCAAACCCTCTCATTTTATTTAGGAATCTGTTCGCGAGGAAGGATTTGCCAGAACGATAGGGCCCTGCTACTGAAATAACTACAATTTTCTTCTTCTGTTGTTCTTCTAAGAGTGCCATAGCTTCGGTGTTGACTGAAAATGTTCCTCTTTCATCATCTACTTCTATAAATGGGATAGCTCTCCCTCCATCATCATTGTTATCCATTTAAATATATCTTAATCTTATAAAATTTGATCTGCTTTGATTTTCTAATTAGTTCTAAATGGGGTTTTGGGGTTTTGGGGTTTGGGGTTTTGGGG